GAAAGACAACCTTTAAAATAAGATATTTTAAAGGTTGTCTTTCTCAGTAAACCAGAATGCGTTTTTTTTTTTCTGCTACACTGTATTTTTTAAGAGTATTTTTCAAGTAAACAAAATTAGAAAATTCTGTTAAATATTCATAAAAGTTTCTGGTTGTTTTCTAAAGTAGATGGATTCAAATAAAAGCAAATTAAGGTTCATACAATATTTTAAAATACTGTATACAATAGTTACTGTATATACAATAGTTAATTTATTGTCATGTGATTAATCCGCCCAATTAATCAGTATATTAATTGATTCATTATAGAAGCTCCAGAAATGAGCTTGTTTAAGGCTCCTGGTTACAGGGATGAGAGTTTTTGACCTTGTCCCCTAAAGGAGTCTTTATTGAAACAGTTTTACCGAAGCTGCTGTGTAAATACATTCATAATGAAATATTTTCTCAATAAGTGGGATAACATTGTGGTGTGTTCGTGTGTAACCCAGTGACACATTTTAGCAGCATTTGGTGCCTGGCAGGCGGTCATTACTGACTCCCCACAACAGTTGGTGGTTTAGAAGGGTCCTCAATCTGCACACTGTGAACAGACTCCACTGTATTCATTACATGGAGCTGCTTCCTGCTAACAATCACCAAACATGAGAATATTCACGTTCTGTTAGTTCTTTCATACAGTTAAACCAGAAGCATGATGAAATCACCATAGCAGCTATTGTCTAATGTGGGTTTTTTCTCTCTCTCTTTGTTTCTGTCTGGGGATATTACACCAAACATTACAGGAATATGATTTAAAATGTTTTTCATTAGTGGAGGATTTGGAGCTTAATTACTAAACATGCATGTGTCCAGATTTTGGTTCTTCGTCACATAAACCGTTTCATTGTGTTGTTAAAATTTTGGCTCTTGGAATTATTCAATTCGTTTCCAAAATGGTTTAAATCTGGTCCGAAAACATCAGTTCTATTATGTTTGACCTGCTTGGTGATCTCAGTGCATCCTAATGCTGGAAATTCAAAGATCAAAACCAGTTTATACCTGGATCCTTGAGAGGTGGAAGGAAGATCCCTTCCTTAGACAAGGAGCAACCCAACATAAAGATTAATGGGGATGTGTCTGTGGGTTTTCTTTAAAGTCAGATAACGGAACCCTTTAGAAGAACTAATGGCAGGTCAGCGTGAACAAACCCAGCCAAGAGGAGTCAGAGACAGCCTGTCAGAGCAATCGGATTTTATCACCAATCAACTGATCTCAAAGTAAATTTGTTCTGATAATACTGGAGATCATATACATGCTGAAATATTT